AATTTGCTCTGCATATGTACCCTGTTCGTCTGCCTCCTTGCATCTAGGCTGCAGCTGTGTGCCTTATCCTTAGGTTTAGGTTTCTGAACAAGGCATGCTTTGGTGCGGCAATGTCGATAATTGGGCCTTCACAAGTGATTGGTGAAGACATGTGCGTTTGTGAGTGTAAACAGGCGACACAGGCGCAGGTGAATGTAAACATGGGTCTGTTACCCATCAGTAGTGTATTACCCTGACCCCTTTGTTACCCCTCGGTAAGGGGTTACCCCTACCCCGGGGTTAGGTTACCCACCTCCATACATAGCCACATGGGTAACCCCTACCCCTACACCCTGGGTTATGCCTTGTTTTATGGGGGGGTTACCCCTTGTTTTATGCCATAGGGAAGGATTGGAGCAAACTTAATTAGTCTATTTAAAATAAATTTCCAAGCAGCTAATATACTTTTGAGATGTTAACAAAACATTACTCTATAACTAAATGTTAATGTAATGACTTCTTCCTAAATATAATCTTAAAACAAAAACAAAGAAATAAAATAGACAAACAAAAAGACGAAAAGACGAAGACCAGCATAATGGACAGCTCATGATGACACAGGAAGAAAGCAGCAAAATGATAAAAAACGGGAACTTTCTATGGTATGAGAGCAAACAAAATAATGACTTTGCTAGCTAGCTCGGCTGCTGAGAGGGCCGGCAACTAGGTTGCAGGCTCATGAGCAGCGTTATTTTTTTGCGGAATATATTCCGAATTCGGAATAAAAAAATGTACATGGTCCTGAAAGTTAAGAATAAATAATGTTCCGACCGTGCAAGTTCATTCCTCCAACTGTTTCTGACCAGACCAAACGCTGCAAAACATTCGGACCCGAAGCTCCCAAAGCGTGTTAGGTCATTAAAGCAGATATAAAAAATCACTGAAGCTATTAGCGACGTTTATGAAGACGGTATAGAGGTCGTAGGGAATGTGGGCGCAATGCTGCAGCCAGCCGACGACAATGATGCCACTCCGGTTGTCAACAGCGAGCAGGCCAAACATCAGCGTTCGTCATATGGAGACAATCACGATGGTCCAGGAAACAGGCTGCGTTTGGTGGTTCCGGTCCATTGCTGCTATGCATCATTACTTTTGCAACCTGGAAAGTTGTGTAGCGTTATCTTTCAACGTTATGCAAGACGAAAGATGGTGAACGAACTCTATTAGATCAGTGTTTGAGAGATTGTGGTGTGCGCGTGTTGCGGCATTCCCCACGGCATTTGCACGAAGTAAACTGTAACTCATCCGGGGGGGGGCTGGGGGGGGGGGCGGAGGGGGCCCCCCCCAGCGTCTTACAGATTCGGAATACTTTTATTCCCGCGACTTAAAACCTATTCCTCCGTTCGGACTGGAAAATTCACCGGCAAAATTGAAAAGAAAAACACTGCTCATGAGAACCTGTCACATGTACATCCATAGCCGCATCAGGTAGCACTATTGGTGAAGACTTGTCAACGGACTGCTGAACCCCCAGTTTAGATGATCTGTGTGTGACTTGTGTCGTAGACAGTGCTGTGGTGCAATGTGATGTGCACCCAGCCGTCTGAACAAGCTGTCCATATCCACACCCGCTGACTTCCACCCACCCACGCCGGTGCTCCTATGCTGCAGACTGCACACTACCAAGCCGCTACCGTGATGTACGGCCGGTCACCCTACAAAGCCACAATAAACACGGCCAGGTGCTTCACCAGAAACACCCAATGATTGTTTTAGGGGGAGTGTAGTGAATTAGACGTTCATCTGTCAGACCTCTCTACTGTTGTCCTTAAGGGATATTTGCCATACTTATGGAATCGTGATTTGGTTCCTTCATATGGTGGCGGGAAGCCGCATTTCTTAGTTGCTTGTAACGGGAAGTGCAGACCATGCTGCTCCAACCTTATGTCACAAGCACGCTGCAGGCATGGGCAACTTACTGAAGCTAAGCAAAATCATGTCACACTCACCAGCAACAACGCCAGAGCCAGCCGTAGCCGCAGCTGCACATAAAGGAGAAACGATAGGGATGCACCATTGACATCAATACTTGCTCAAGGGAACATGTTCATAGGTTCCATACAGCTTGCCAACAGTAAGAGATCTAAACGTTCCGAGGACCATACAATACACCATGCTCCTCAAGTTCACCGATGCCTAATTGAGCTGCTGATTGCTGCTTTCAGGGCGATAGGCTGCTGGAGATGAAGGTGTGCTCAGAGGTCATTCATGTTGAGAGATAAGACACCAATGCTAGCTTCATACAATAGATAACGCACCGTTCCAAAGCGGCTGTGACTTTAGGTGTCTTCATCATTGAAGCAGATCAACCGTCACGGCAAGCCCTCGTTATGCGTGTTTTGGTTACGATACCAGGTATAGGACAGAAGCAATCCCTAATGCAAAATATTTTCCCGACACGCTATTTGGCAGGGTCCGCGCCGCAGCCTCAGATGTACCCCAAAAACAACCGGCCTAATGGCCAACCCCGTTCAATGTGTGCGCACACAGGTTGCTTAAGTTGGTTTTGTCTTCAAATTGAGAGCGACCAATAGTAGCCGGAGCACACGCAACGCGGACTCTTCGGCAAGGTATGAGTTGAGAAGGAATCGCGCTTAGGATTTACCTATAATAGCATCCACCACGCCAGGCGCCAGACGCGCGTCGACGAGCCCTTCCCGTCTGGCAGTCCGCAAACGGTCAGCGGTGTGTACTTCGCGCCCAGAGCTTATCTATGTCATCTTCATCCAGTCCAACAGAACCCAGGCCAGCGTCTGCAACAGCAGCACACATAAGCTTCCTCCACTCATCTGGCGTCATAGCGTCTCGCAGGTTCTGCTTTATCTGCGTCGAGCCCAAGTACTAGGTGAACGCGAAATTAACACAGCTAAAGGTTGAAGTTCGTGTTCTGCTCGTTGCAATTGCAAGCTCTGACCAGAAAGAAATTTCGGGAGTCAAGCCGGAAATTGTTTCCAACCCTGGAGCTGACCGTTAGTACCGCCTTCCATTTGACAGCACAAAACAATTTTTCCTTAGGATTTTAATACGTTTCATGGAATGCTGGCGACCCGCTGAAGCGAATCTGAAAGGGCGCCACCACAGCTGCTTGTGCGATGCATAACTGAAGCCTAAGCGCTCGTTCACCGTACACAGCCAAAGTAGCTGGCGCACGTCAGCGACGAGGGCAGCATCTAGAGTATGTACCACTGTTCCCCTTCCTGTGCCGCCCGCTTCACCGCCGACAACGAAGGGCCAAGTACGGTGTGAAGTACGGGTAATTTACCGGTTCCCAAGATTTGCATAAACGCTGGAATTATAATTCGCTGAATAAGCAATGGGTGGGTGGGTGGGCTAATCGAAAGCAAGGAATCCAAATGATTTGCGCAAGCTGTTGCGTAATGCTCGGGTTCGCGTTTTCAGCCGCGGCTATGACGATCTCGCCAAGCTGGGACCCAAGGGTCTGCCATGCGCCGCCTTTGTGCATGGGCCATCTTTAACCTTTGCAGCACCTACAACCTGCTGATTCGAAAGAATCCTTAGAATGTAGCGACATATTGCGGGAGTTCTTGGGAGATTTGCCGGTCAACGGTTATGGCTCACTTATCACCAGATTCTCATCCGGCAGGGTCATGCTGAGCCGGATGCAGTAGCCGTAAAGTAGAACAAATTGTTGGCGCCGAGTCGCTATCTGCGATGGACTGCCGCCAACACCCCGGTTCCCATTCCCGTCGTGACCCTGCTGCGCGACTTAAAGGGTGTTCTGCCTGCCGTGAAGCCCTTGCATACACGGCCATGAGTGCGGGATTATCCGCGGATTCCGGATAGATTATCCGCGCGTGATCCCCTACACATCCAGATTTCTTTCGGGGCTTTCCCCGCCCTCAACCTGGTGCTGCTTGCCGAGTTGCTGCAAGCTGCCAGATGTAGATTGCGAAGGTAGACACAGGAGCTTCCAGGAAATTTGCTTGCCTGGAGATCTAGAGAAAGTCTACCAATGCCGTTG